TGGATAAGCTTCAAGTGAAGTTCAGAAAAGCAAAAAGCAAAATAACCACATCCCTGCTCTCACTCACGCATTATACTAAACATGACAGACAGATATCTCTTACTCTCTGAAGACTGATTCCCTTCCATTTTCTAACAGGACATGAATGAAAGTATTTTAAGCTGTTGACAGCTTTYAATAAAAGATACCACACACATTTCTGGATCTGGTTTTTTGAACCTAATATTTCATCCTACTTTAAGCCCACACACAATAAAATATTTGTTACATATAGATATTAATATGCCAAACTTCTTTGTAAGAAAGAGTTTGGAGATCAAATAAAGCCTTTTCTTTTCACTGTATTACTCCGCCCTTTAGAATTAATCTGAGGGAAAAAAAAGAAAAAAGTCGAATTATGGCAGAGACTTGCCACACATTCACTGTGCATTAGATCACAAGTAAAATGAATAAATGAGTGAAATTAATTTTCAGACTTAAATCAAGATGAAAAATAATGCTGTGCCTAAGGACACAGGCTGTAAGTTTACAGATTAGTTCTCTGCTCTACTGCAAATTTCTTGCTCAGTCTTGGCTTCCCTAGCCATTAATATGACAGTATTACTTTCTCTTCCTATCCTCTACTTGTTTTCTCCATGTGGTTATATAAGCTTTCAGAGGCAGGAGGCTGCCCCTGAGTGCATGTTTGTATAGCAAGAAAAACCATGATCTCAGATGGACTCTTCGAGCCATAATTGAAGACAAGCCACTTCACAACACTGTTTTCAAAGATATCTGGCATGAAAAAAAGCATGGTGAGTAAAAAGGTAGAGAAATCGAATGCACATTAGAATTTTACCTTGGGTGCATATTACACTTTCTAATTTGCATTGCCCTAGTACTATTTTCTAGGCAGACCCTAAATCGAGCCTGATCTCCAAAGATTTGACATTCTGGGGGTCTATCAATGGAAGGCATTTCCACAACTTTCTGGAATATACTTTTACACATAGYAAAATGTAAGTACTCAAGCTATTATTTCTGTTTAAATATAGCATGACAGCAAAGAGGTATGAGAATCTGTAAACTTATTCCCAGCATAAAACGTCAAAATAAGCCATCATGGGCCTTCAGGACCTTATATAGCCTATTTTTCCGAGACTTTTGATGAARCATGTATTTCACAGAGTGCAAGAAATATTAGAAAGCATCAGTCATTGAGTCTGTTTGCATTATGCAGTTGTAGCCTGATCCACTATAAACCTTTCTGATTATTTTGAATATTTAAATTTAGCACTAATTTTGGCTTTAAAATAGATCACATTTTTTCCTTTTGAAAATTGGAAAACATTGCAGACTAACTTTTTTTGTCTTCTTGAATTGTGGAATCCAATGCATGTGAGTTGCTATAAATAAACATTCACTACATTGTGGTAACAGACCTTTGGTCCACTCTTASTGTCTTCCAGTGCTAAGGGAGAATTCATTGGATTAAATCATTAATCATAACCAACAGCTCCRAGGACAGATCTTTCCTACAACAAATAAAGTGCCAGTGCTTCATGTGGTGGTCAGAGGATGCAGATTATGACTACCCAAAAGGACAAAGTTATTACTGGGAATGTTTTAGAAGTGATTAGCTTAGCACATTTAGTTTAAGGTGTTCTTCTACCACTGGTGTTACTTTTCAGGACTGAGAGATGTTTTCTCAGCAGTGCTGCTGGACTGTGTTAGGGCAGGGTTTTTTYAAGGCTGATTTTGAAGTCATATTGAAAAGATCTCATCCACCCACTCAAGAAGGAGGAAATTAAATAACACCTTTAAATAAGCAGTTCCTTACTACACAAGTTATGGGTAAGCATGCAAAAAAGACTAACTACACTTCAACTTTCCATGTTCCATTTTCACACATGTTTTAGTTGTGCTTTCAAGCTTTATCTGTACTGGAAAGTAGTATARAGACACCGTTACATATTTTCTTAAAAGAGCAGGGCTAGCTGATTTTATATGCAGTTGCTGAAATTAAATACAGTTTTTAAATATATATATATATTTACCTTCACACGTTTTCACTGCAGTAAGATAGAGAAGAACATTTTTGAAGAACAACAGTATTGTGGTAGTACTCAGAAATCCCTGTACCTAACTACACAAGCACTGAATATGTTCTCTGCCTAGAAACTTAATCTCCTTCAAGTGTTMATGAAAACAATGCTTGTAAATACATGAAAGCTAAACATGTATTTAAGCATGTATTACGTCTGTAAACTTACAGACRTAAGTTTAAATATCAGAGAAAAGCTATGTAATGACAGCTCACTGGATGCCAAAGATTAGTACTCGTAACTTTCCCTCTTGTTCCTTCTTGTAATGAGCTGTAACAATTATTGCTCCCATGGCTCCAAGCTGCCAACAGACTCCCAACAATACCTAAGAAYAGACATCTAAGCATGACAGGAGTTTCATCTATTCTGTACTGTGTAAACAACATTTGTCAAATTAAGCTTTACATACATTAGAAACAATTGCTTCACAAAACRAAGAGGTATCAACAGACAAAAAATTATGATCATGTATATACACTGACATTAGAATGAAACAGCTGTAACTGAGGGGAGGAAGTAGTGACAATGGCAGTAACAGTTGTTCACAATATCAGCGTATGTTTATCATACTGTATGTTAAAGACAACAATAGTCCCCAAAAAAAGCACTACAGCACATGAACATGTCCCCATTCATTATCACCAGGGCCTTTCCACAGTGATGCTTCCCTGTGTTTCTGCTTACCGGATTCCCCCATTCAACAGACCTAACACATGTCATATGCTTTTCTCTGGATCTCACTGATAGGAATTAGGGGGAAGGCAGAGAAGGGGCTGGRGTAAGAAAGGAAGGTGTTAAATAACTACTTTATGCAGATCTGATGCTCCTTAAAATAAATTATTCTTGGCTTTGAAATATAAGTGTTTGTCTGCAATAATTGGATGCTACAAGAAAGACAGTAATCACAAAAAATCACTTAGTTACCTACAGAAAAAAAAGGCATTCTAGTTTAAAGAAGAAAGCAGAAGTTAAATTAAGACAACTCAGGTTTAGCAAACCAGCACATTGTCAATTTATTCTTATGGTTCTTCTCATGGTTGCCACTCTGTAGTCAAGGCATTTTCAGTGACATCTACAGCACAGTCTGGAGACATGRTTACTAAAAGTGAAGTCAGATTCTAACGTAATCTTACATCATTTGCAGTCTCACACTGGACTTCCTTCCCCATCAGTCTGCAGGGGCCGGAATATTTTCCACCAAAAAAAAAAAAAAGATTTCAAAATACAAATAGAGGAACCACTGTGACCTTCAGGACATAGAATAGGACATCAAAATCCAGTTCCAGTTTTGACATTATGAATTCATGGGTGAAGATTGCTGCTATGGAAAAAAAATGGAAAAACAAAAAGATAAAGGAAAAAAAAAAAACCACAAAGAAAAACACTGACTCTTGAACCCCCAAGTATTTTGGTTGTCACYGAAAACCAGAGCAAAAACATGTCTTCGGGAAAGAAATGAGAAAGAATATGTACAAAATTTATCCTTTCACCATTCTTCTTATTTGACTAAGTGCTTTGGACTCTTGATACACACAATTTACTCTCAAAAGTTTTGTGAAAGTCAAATTCCARACAAGGCAGAATAAGTGAAGCAGAAGATAAATGGCCTGTTCTGTTGTCGAACATTTAAATCAATCTATCACCTGAACCCACTTTTCTTATTTTGTTCAATGGTTTTTAGAGAAAACAGGTAGTGTAAGGCTGTTTGTTACCAGATYCCTTAAGTAGAACAAATGCAATACTGAATTGAGGCAGAGGTTTTATAACTAATAATGCACTCAATTAAAGAGGGGTAATTAAAAATAGCTTTTGGTAGACTAACAAAGATATGTACACAGGTTTATTTGGATTAAACCACTCRGCCAGTCTTAAGGTCAGTCTCATTCCACTGTTACCTGTGCTGCCTTTCCTCCCCACTAATCCTATCCATTTGYACACCTGTATTCTGGGTTCATTTTCTGTCACTTTGATGAACTTAATTAGCCAGTCCAGGAATAATTGTGATGCACTGGAAATGGCAGGCATATATTGCCTGGAGTGAGACTGCACCTTTCATTGGCAGTTGAATTTTAGACCAATTTTCACAGAACTACTTTCATAAATAACCTATCTCTTCTAAACAGCACAGCTTTCAACTTCCTGGTTCTTGTCATGCTATTTGAAACACTTATTCAATTGTCATATTCTGTTTCACTGAATTTCACAGTGGAGGAACTGGAAATAAGAAAAATGAAAACAAGGAGAAAAAAACCTATTCTCTCTCTTTCCCCTGCCAGAAACATCAAAGATTGTGTAAATGTATTAAAAARATATTCCTTTTTCCCTTTTTGTGTCATGTTTTGTTTTTGCTCTGCTAAACTCTCTGATCCTTTTTCAAATCAAACTCAGTAAAAAAGTGAAAGCATGTTATCCTAATGCTGGGAAATTATGTAAATGCAGAAAAAATACATGATCCTTAAGCTTCCAGAATAGTTTATGTCACCTTGAATACACACTGCTAATTTAATACCAAAAATATATATTCAAAGTATTAACTTTGCTGAAGGAAATTACTAAACAAATCTGAAGTTTAACTAACAGCCACCCTACTTAATGCCAATGSTATACATACCTAAGGCATTAATGTTGTTACAACACATTCCAGATTGGAAAAAAATTCTGGACAGGCTTCTTAAGGAAAATAAGCCTGACTGCTCTAATGTCACAGTTTTAGTCCATACAGTGGCAATATTTTTTCTAAGAGAGCTCTATTATAGCTGGCTTATCATGGCAGAAATGTTATCAATAGCTTTGACAGACAGGAATTTTGCAATGGAAAGGTCATAGGCTTAGTTTAGATCTTCCCTTGTCTGAGTAGACAAAGAGTATTTTACCACAATTGGCTCTAGTCAGTGATGGATTTTCATTTCCAAATACCTGTCATCATTGTCACTGATGCATTCAGGAAGAGCAAGACTACAGCCAAACAGCATGATGTGTTGATAGCAGTTGAGACGATTGAGATAACTGAAGAACTTCAGGAACTTTTCCATTTCAATACTCTTGACAATGGAAAGAACTGAAGTCACAGTGGTGTAGTTATATGGCAGCATTTGGCACTGGCTGTTGGTGATATTTATGCAGGCACCTGTGAAATCAAAACAATATATTTAGAACAACAGTATCACCACTGGAKAGCTGGTTCAAAGCATATATTGAATTGACTAGCCAGTATTTATAAAACAAACATAAGAAATGTCAGTATCTCACAGGTAAGATTACATTCCATAATGATATCATAATATTGCCAAAAAATAAGAAAAAAATCAAACCAGAGATGCTGCTTGGAAAACCAAATAAGACCTTAGATATTTTCACAATCCTCCGGCTTTTTGCAAAACTGGATTAGAAAAAACACAAAACCAATTTCTTTTTGACACAGCCTGGATACAATCAAAWCCAGATGAAGCTGAGAACAGAAATCACACAGAAAAAAAACCCAAGCCAATTGGATTCTGAAGCTGCTCTGGCTTTGGTGTTCCCATAAAGTTTCTCTTTTTGCTACCATTCTACTTTGCAGCTGGCTTTCTGGACAAAATCATAGACTTGCTTAATTATTTTTCCCAAAGTGATGGTTTTAGTTCTGCAGTCTTTCTCCTCTACCCTACCAACATATCACAAACAAACTATTAAATTATAGTATCTATGACAGCTCCCTACTCTGAATAAGAATGCCTTTCTAGGCCATTTTCCAGTCAGGCTACAGCAACATTTTATTCACACTCAGAGCATATCCACATTGTGCAGTGAGCAAGGGCCTCAGCCCACTCTCAAGACCAGACTCTGCCATGCTGTAAACAAAYCAAACACACGCTAAGTGATTATTCCAACTCCAGCCTTCTCAAGGGGGAAAACTTGAACACATTCAAGCCTTAGCACTCCTCACTATCTGAACAAACTGGACACAACTAGCAAACTACCAGAAGGTAGAGCCTTTTCATAATGAGACATTTTGGGACTGGTTTCTTCCAACAATTGTGTGGGTTTACACCTGACCTCCCAACATGAAAAAAGCTATGGATATAAAGCAGACAGAATGCAGATCTAAGGGYTCAGCACGTCTGTCTTTTACTTGTCTTTCAGTCTACACACAGTGTTTGTTCACTACCTAAATGCACTAGTGGCAAATTCCRGTATCTATGGGCTAATACAACCTCACATAAGAATGGGTGGGGGAAARCATAACAAAGAAAAATGTTCATGGCAGTTTATTCAAATTGCARTGTCTGAAGGGATGGACAAAGAAGATGGGTTTCAGATTTTATCTAGACTTGGTAAAAGACAATCCCTATTTTCCCAGTGCCTGATGAGTATACCCCTCTGTCTCCTCCCTCTCCATAAATTTYAACAAAAATTAAGGAATTGTATCTTGCTCCACTGAAACAAGTGCACGTCTATCCACTCATATCCACAACTCTCCAGAGAAGGTTCCCCTGCTTCCCAGTACTGCCAACAAGAAGTCTTTGTGCCAGGGAACACCCATTTTCACCCCATCWCTTCTCCTTCCCACAGCACAGCAACTAATGGATCTGATCATCCAGTAAGATGCAAGGGCAGCTGGGTGTATCTGTGTCAGCCCATAAAGAGCAATCCACCAGAGTCTAATAAAAAATGTCCTTTCCAAATTCAAGTAACATGAATATGCAATTGTGAACACTAAAACAATTCTACCAAGTTAGTTTCAACTCATGCACTGCTGTACTGTCTTTTTAAATACCTTACTTAGCTAGCCCAGCTCACAMTTAGCCATGTCAGATTTGGATAATTTTTATGAACTTCTCACTGCATGGAGGTGGCTATGACAGGAAAGATAAACTCCATGCCAACCAAGCACAACTTAAATAGAGACATTGGGTTCATTCACGTGGCAAAAATTCAGTGATGTTGGGAGAGGAAGCCTGAGAGAAGTGGAAATTGTAGGCCATCTTTCTGCAAGGAAGGCTAGATAAAAGCAAGGAAAAGACAGGGACATATCAAAGATGCAGTAATACATTTAGATCWTTTGGATAATTCCCACAACAGGATAAAACTTTCATGAGTCTCTGTCAGGCTATATTTATCGTATAAGAGTATAAATCATGTATTCTGTACATAACATGGGCAGAAAACCAAAATCAAACTGTGGAAGGATATAGCTTTAAAATAATCTAGACTTCAATTCTTTTCAAGCCTGATCAACATCTCCACATCATTTGCAGTTTTTCCCCTAATCTAAAACTCTCAATTCCTCTAAAAAACATTCTGTTGGTTATTCTGCAGCAGTTTGTGTCAGGACATAYTTTGAATCACAATTAAAAATCAATAAAGAAATTTCTCAGAGAGTTTGACCATTATACTAAGAATTTACCAGTTGAAGTAAGTAACAATTTTCCTCATCCTTTMAGTTTGGATCTATTTCACTTGGGTTTGTTCTTAAATCAGGCAGTAAAAGACAATTTAAAAAAAAAAAAAAAATTCTGCTTTCCCTTAATGTTGCCCCTTCAAGACTTCTAAAATGCTTATCTTTTAGCCATCTAAAATGAATTTRCAAACAGTGAGACAACAAAGCATTTAATTTCTTCCACAATTTCAAGATCTTCAGTGTTTGAATAATTCTTCGCACTATTTGGAGACCACTACTGCCAACCCCACAGAGTCTCTCTTGTTCTGGACTAAGTGGAAATTACTATTTATATGACATAATCTCCCATGTCATTACATTTCTTTTCATATTCCATCTTTATCATCTTTTCTCTCAGTACTGCAATGCCTATATAGCTTAATTCTATARCTTCTACAGTCTTGTATTGTTAATGCTGCTCTTCTTTTCAGACAGAGCTTTTATATCCCTATTTGCATACTTTCTCCTCTATCCAAGATCTCTAACATGATCTAATGTCATTACATGTAATGAGTACATATTATCTTTCAATCATGAGTGCAATTCACTCTTCAGCACATCCCACCTTGCTTGTGTTTCTTTGTTATTTTCCCCTACTTGAAATTCATCCAACTTTTCTGCACTTAAAAGCTTATGGTTTAGATAAGATTTCTGAAAATTATTTACACAAGAGTTTTAAAAATACTTACCAGGGTGTAAGCTATTCAGATACAAATCATTTGAACCTATTTTAAAATTCATAGTGATGGGGGGTGCTTTGTTTCGGATTAATATCTTAGTTCTAAAGAACCAATATATTTTTATGTCATTTGACCCTCATTTCCATTTTTATTCTTCATGGAATGCTGATACACTTAGAACACAAATACTGCAAATGTAYCTTTATCTAAAAATAAACACTTGTTTTAATCAGACTACCAGGTCATCCTTCCAAAATTCATTCTATCTCAATGAGCGAATCACACCATTTTATATGCAGTTGAAGTGACAGATGTTAGGAAAAGTGATACAAAGACTGGTCCTAACTTTATTCCTATGTATTTTGAATCACTAATTGAATATTTGAGGCTGCTGTACCAAGATCTAACATCTTTCATTGGATACCCAAAATGAGACATCCAGTTCTAAAAGGCATTTATCTCATTAGAGGTGCACTATCTGAGTAAGCATTAGTTGGATGCCTCAAATCASAGGTCACATTTATGGGAAAAGTTGCAGAAGCTCTCTGTCAGGCCAKGGGTAATTAAGGGAATTCTAAAGTTTAACACTGTTCTCAAGATCCTGATAGAAGAAACTGCTTAAAACTTTTTACCTCTTTGCATGTAGGTATAAAAGTTAGCCATAAACAAAATGGACATTTTTTTTCAGAACTACTGAGCACCAGCAGACCCTATTCAAATCAACAGGGGAGGCTGGTGCCAACTGATTGTTTTAAAGCAATCCCTTTGGCTTATTCGGAATTTCAGTCTTGAAGCTAGACAGCTTCTCTACTGAGAGCATCTTTTAAGCATGTGCTGAAGTGCTGCCTGAATAGGAATGAAGTTAGCATATGCTCAAGTACTGCTCTAAACAGTTGCCTTCCCTTTTTAAATATGCCACTCTTGACTTGTGTAGCTCCTTGAGATTTAATGTGAGCCAAGATACATTGTCGCCATAATACTGAAAAAATAAAAAATCTGCTAAAGAGATGTCTGTAAATGAAGCAGGTTCCAAATTCTTCATGACAAAGAAAGTGCAGTGAAAGGAATCAAAGTAACACAATGAAGAAGAGCTGAATGCTCATCTGTGGTTCCTGTCAGGATTCTCTTCAATTGCACATATTTCTTCTGTATCTATTCAGGTACATTTGCACAAAATCAAAACAGTATTTCAAACTTCCACTCAAACTGATGCTTAAAAAGGAACATCATGTACATAATACACATCAACTGCCCCTAATTAGCTCAAAACTTCTTCTAGAATAATAGACACAATTCACTTCTGAAACTCTATTTAGTAAGTATTGTATGATAACTGCCTAGGAGTAATTTCAGTAATGAGTTCATGAACAAAAAAGAAGTTGTACGGAGTAAGAAGTTTATAAAATACAAATCAAACGGTTCAAAACTATTGATTTCTTAGGGTTTCTTTATRGATGTACATCAGGCAACATTTTCTATTGTCTTACAACTAAAGCACAGGTCCTCTTACACAACTAAAGCATGCCTTTATTATCCATTCACCATCTAAAAAAATAGCATAAAAAGCTGCAGTTTCAAGATTAAAAATAATCTCTAATTTTCAAAGATGGAGACTTACTGAGGAGTAAATTGTTTTACAGCTACCTTTCTCTAAACTGATGCCTACTACTACCACACAGTTTTTTGCCAAAAGAAATCACAAGATCAGTGTTTGCTTTGTTRCTGTCTCCCACTTATATATGCTCTCTGTTTAAAAAAAGCCCTCTAAAACTATTGGGGGTTGCTCTATCACAATCAAATGTTGTAACATCCACATAAAGCAACAAACCCATTGGTGACAGCACCAGCACTTCCATGATATTTCTCGTTTCCTTTGCAACAGACAAACTATTTAGCTGTACCCTGGAAAGAGAGAGCTCATACCTAAAAGCATCCATTAAGCACTGAGAAAGGGAAGAAAAATACAGCTCCATACTCTGGTGTAAAARTACAATATTACAAACAATTGTCAATAGCAAGGTCCCCATT